TAATTTCTATAAATTTTATATTTTACTTCGCAATGTCTGTGCTTATTTTAGTATAGAAATGATAAAAATCCCAACCTTTTCCCTCAAGAGTATTTCCTTCCCAAATCTTTCAAAAGTTTATTGATATTCTTATGCCCTCCCATCACACTGCTGTTGTGTGAAAGGTATAGCTATAGGGGATGTGGAAGTTTTCTCTCAAAGTGTCCAGGTTTAAATCTTATGTAAATAAAAGCATCAAAAATCTGTGGCTAATATACCTGTCAATACCAAGAGATGGGGTAGGGGTGCAGCAAAGTGGTAGCGCCTTTGCCTAGTATACTCAAGGCCCTGGGTTTCATCCTTATGACCATTAATTAATTATCTAAGTGGAACATAATTTATCTTTTTATTGTGCAATGTACTATATTATTCTTCAAATGTTTTTCATGTTTAATTTTATCACTCCAAAAATAAATGATCCCCGATAGTGCTCATCCCTTTTCTGTATCACTATTGAGAGTATAAAGACAGTTAAGGCATTCAATAAGTTCATGATTGACCTCAACTGAGAAAGGCACTCAAAAAACATTTGATTACAATAAAAGCGATTGATTATCAGTTGGAATTTAGTTGATTGAGAGAACCCACTAGTAGCATCAGAACTGTGGATTTTAAGTGGTTTTTAACACTTAAAATTAGAAAGTATCCAAACTAAAAACTTCAATAATGAAAGCAATACTGAATCAATAGTGTCAAAACAGTGTTAAGCAGTAATGCTTCTGTCCATCCATCCATCCATGCTAGTAACAGAACCCAGGGCCTTGCACCTTCTAGGCAAGTGCTCTATCACTGACCTATATCCCTAGCCCAGTAATATCCTTTTTCAAGGGAAAAGCATGTTACACAACAATCTGCTATCCTAACTGGAGTGCTTTAGAGACTATCCTAGTCATAGATTATGAAGTAGTTCACAGAGAACCAGGCTGCCTTTACCCAAGAAGCTGGGACTCACCATGCTGCACCAAGTACTCCACGATGCTCCTCACCACGGTGGGCACCCCATCCTTAGTGAGCCCCTGCTGCTGAAGCTCTGGCAGGCTGACTCCAAATAACTTTTTATAGGCAGGATCCTGCTGTTCACTCAGTGGCACTGCCACTATCTTTTTCATATCTTCTCTCAGCCGAACTGCTGCTTTACTTTGCTTGAAAGGACATAAGAAAAAAGAGCAGTCAGTCATGTTGACCACAGAAGGGTGCATGGTTACAGCAGAAACACCTAAGTTAAAATGTAAGGGTCTGGAGATGAACAGTAGCAATCTTCCCTTATTTTTATGTCAACTCAAATCAAAATCTTTAACATCTCTCACAGGTACACACTGATCTAATGGTTAGAAGAAGTACCAAAAAAATGAGACACCTAAGGCCACAACTTAAGTGTAGCTAAGAGAGGGAGCAATACACAGCAGTATCCAAGAGATATTACTACAACAACCAGTGGTGTGACTCAGAAGTACCTGGTTAACAGGAAAATAAAACACTTAGAACACTGATACCCCTTGCAGATCCTGAAACAATGAGATGTTTCTAAAGACGAAAATTTATCTAGATGCTATTTTAAGGTAGTTTTCAGAAGAATATGTGTGGAATGAACGTTTTATTTCTGATTTATTTATATCTATAATCATTATGATTATGCATTAACTTTTTAATATACAAAATCAATTACAGTCTCATTGAAGTACAAAATGCTATGTCTCTGAGAATATTTATGGTGGTCATAATTTTTAAATTTTGACAAAACTTTATATATATAAATAAAATGCAATTTATGTTCAATTGATTCAAGTTACTGCCACAACAACAAAAAATTCCATACAAAATTGTTTCTACCTTTTAATAGATATTTATATCTCGGCTGGCAGGCAGGCACACTGAGTTCCAAGACCAACTGACTGCATGGCTTTGCCCTGCAGAGACCTGGAGAGCTGCTGTTGAAGGAAGCAGGAGGCCAGGTCCCTTGTGTGGGGGAGCAGAAACTTCCGACCCAGAGAACCCTTCCCCGACTGCACAAGGTATCTGAGGCCTGAGAGTCCTGGCAGAGAGGCAGTAAAGAAAAATGAAAATGAACAGTAGAGCTCCACAGCATCTGTGATTTCCCCAGTGTTTGAGAAGGCCAGTTCCCTTTCTCGTGCCTCACTATAAGTGAAGGGTGGTTGCAGCTTACACGATACAGATGAAGATGAAGGAAGGGCCACAGAGAAAACATCTAATGAAAAGAGCAAGGTGAAAATGCAGATAGATGATGTGGATGACCTTGACTTACCTCAGTCATCTGAAGCAGCCTCAGAGGACTGTGAATTCCTTTACCCTGAGTATAAGAATATTTTGCTGCCATTTGAACAACTCAGAATGGAGTATAAAGATTCTGTTAGTGTATTAAAAATGTGGGATGTGTTGCATTCATATAAAACATCAATAAATCTTAAAAAAGATCATGATGAACTGCTTAAAGGAAAAACTAAAAAATTAGAAAATAAGGTTAGAAGCCTGCAGAAGGAACTAACAGAAACAAAAGAATTGAAATCACAGTTAGAACATGAGAAACTACATCGAGAAGGAGAACTTGGCAATTTAAGATTTGCCTTACAACAAGAAGAGGAGAAATGTTGATCAGTTTTATGAAAAAAATTAAAGAATGGTTAAGAAAAAAAGAAGAGCAATATTATCAAGAAGTTGACACAAAATAGCAACTTGAAATTTCTCTTAGAACACTAGATATTGAACTGAAGACGGTAAGAAATAAATTGAATGAGGTACATTAAAAAAAGAAATTTGTATCTCAAGGAAGAGGAATTTTTTAAAGCATGTGCCTTATATAGATGTTATATATTTACATAAATTTAAACACTGAAGAGAAAGATAACAAAATACAATTTTATTCAGAGGTAGTAAAATTGAGAATAAATATAGCAACTAACCACTTAATATCATGAAATGACTATCATTTAGTCATTATAATAGCCTCAGAGTAGAAACATTACCTCTATTCTAGAGTTGAAGAAAAAAAGAACAGAGAAGTGAGTCATTTGGTTAAAGTCTACTAAAAGACAGTTTCATCTTGTTTTAGGTCCATGTTCCTTTCCTTAACTTATATGTATATTAACATCATAGTGTACTTTGCATATAATTATAGTATCAAAATGATAAATGCTATAGGTGACACAAGACAGTTTTGTAAAATTCAATTCTACAATCTTTATTTTGAATAGAATTTTTTTTTTGGTACCAGGGATCGAACTCGAGACCTTGTGCTTGCGAGTCAGGCGGCAGAACCACTGAGCTAAATCCCCGGCCCTTTGAGTAGAATCTTTGTAATTTCAATTTGATTTTGAATTTTATAATCTACAGATTCAGGCCAGCCTCATTAACATATTTGCATCTTTAAGTCATTTTTATAACAAAAACAGGTTATTTTTGAAAACCAGATCTCCTTAGTGAAAATTCAACAAGTATAAATTTACAATAGAGATTTAGTATCATTGTCCCAGTGTTAGCTATGGGGCAATAGGTGCATGGGTAAGAACCAGGAAAACTGTAATCTTAATAATTTAGCCAAATTTATAACTAATCACATTTGTCTTATGGGTTTATAAACATATCAATCTCCTTCAACTGAATACATAGAGTTTCAACCAGGCCCATTTGATGAACCCAAAAATGACCAGCAATAATAAAACTTTGAAAACAGACAAAACTGCAGTATTGGAAACAGCTGACAGGGCTGAGGGAGTAGCTCAGCAGAGGAGCACTTGTCTAGCATGCGTAAGGTCCTTAGTTCAGGCCTTAGCACTGCAAAAAGGAGAAAGAAAACAGCAACAGATGCAACACTGTGGTTAAGTTATGCAAATTCAGCACAGTGGTTTGGAGTATGGATTGCAAAACCAGACTGGGCTGACTTCCATTCTGACTTGGGTTAACTGTAACCTTCCCCAAGTCACTTAACCTTTGTGTGTCTCAGTTGCCTTATCTATAAAGCGGGAATACTAAGAGTTGCTATGCCACAGGATTGCACAGGTGGAAACCTGTTCACACACACAGAAGACTGAATACAGAGCCTGGCACACTCATTTGGGTACCAACTGTTCAAATCCTCCTCCTCTTTCTTTTCCTAGGAATTACTACTCTCATTTGTTCTTAATGTATAAAGAGTGACTTAACCATTCCTGTAAGGAAGGGAAAAGGAGGGGAGGGGAGGGGGAAGTGGAGAGAAAGGAAGGGGAAGGGAAGGGAAGCAAAGTAAGGTTGCTTTCTAAGATGGCAACATGTCCCAGTCACATTTGGTTAGTGGATAGTCTGATGACCTAATTATTCTCCTCTGCACATCTCTACTGTTCTAAAATCTCAAAGTATCACCTTTGAGTAATAAAGATAATTTTAACTTTCAGAATTTCTTAAGTTTTCTTAGAATTTTCAAGGTTTTCATAGAAATTCTGCCTATATTTACATTTAAAACCTTGAGTTAATGTTCTTTCTGGCCCCAGGTCAGAGTTGCAGACAATATGTTGTATCCCTATTTAGAAGTGACTGTAAGTTAACGTTTATTCAAAATAGTCATACTATAAATTATTTACACATAATCACAGTAATAAAGGAAGATATGATTATTGCTTTTAATTGGTAATCCAAGGCTAATTCCTTAAAGAAAAACAAACATTTTTTTAAAAACAATGAAACGTAAGTTATATTTTTATAACAACAAAAAAGATCGACTATTGTTTTTACTTGGTAATCTAATTCAGGTCAATACTTTTAAGAAAGGAAATATTGTTTTTAAAATAGCCACAACATAATAGTATAGCTGTATTTTCAGAAATATCCAAATTAATCCTTCAGTTACCATAAATACATCTAAAAATTTTTATTCATCTACCTTAGCTGGAAGCAAATAATGATTGTTTGTGGTAGTTTATACATACACAAATTACTAAAGAATACAAAACAGCTTAGAATATCCTTTCTGGTAAGCAAAAAATAATATTAAATAGTCCTTTGGTCATAAAAAAATAAAAATTACTGTAGAAATGAAAAACCGATAATTAATCCATTTAAATAAACGTTATTTTGTATTTAAAACAATGGTTACATCCTTGTAAATTTGATTACTGAAGGTGTTTCAAGTTTCCTTCAAATGTACATCTCACTTATCTTGCCTCAACAGAAACTGAAATAACAATTACTAAATGAGGATTCTGAGTCCACCTTAAAGTTTAAACTTTACCTATAAATTCCCATATATCACTTGAGTTTGAAGACTGGATTAAATCGAGTGTGTGTGTACATGTGTGTAAAAGCAATATAGGTTCCCATATACAAAAGACAGAGAACCTGAGGATTCTGAGGTTAGCACAATCTTTAGAGGTCATGTAATGCTTACACTGTCTCCTTAGGAATAAAGAAACCAGGATCCAAAATGTGGTGGTGAACTCAGTGAGAAAGTGGCTGGGCCAAGAGCCCAAATCTCCTGAATTTTATGTGCTGGTGACTTGTTTGTTTATCCTTTTTTATTTATGCTTATTTTATTTATGCTTTTATTTTTGTTGAAAGTACAGTTAAGATAGCTAATAAAATGCACTGTATGACTCTGGTAACTACCTGTTGATTGGGGACCACCCAGCTTCCAGTTCTGTTCTAATAACAAAACCTGACTGCCTTTTGTGGAGAAGCAGCAACTTCACTGTGAAGTGACCTCATAAAATGACGACCCAGCCTCTAGAAAGGACTGGCCTCTGTGTCCCCACCAGGTGAGTCAGACTTTTCTCATGCAGGCCACTGGTATATGAGTGGCCTGTCACAAGACAGAAAAACAACAGAGAGCTAATAACTCTCGCCATCTCAACCTTGGCATGGACCTGGCCCTTCTTCACCATTCCTTCTACTCGGTGGGCTGCTCCACAACTCTGCAGTAAGGTATCTTTTTATCTAAGTTAGCCAAACCCATTTCTGTTCTGTAGCTACACACACCACTAACTGATAAGAATACCTTGAAACACTAATAATCAAAGCAAATACCATGGCTCCAAATACTCCATGTGGCTTCATTCATTAAATCCTAGTATCTAACTTTTCAAAACACTAGGAAGGAAGATATTTTAGTGATCCCCAATTTTTAGAAGGCACAGAGGAGCCAGAATGTGTTGTGGGT